CATTAAGTCACAAGAATAAAAGAAATAATCAGCAACTAAAGAACCTCTGGATTGCTACACAAATTCTCCTTGTCAGTATCTTAGGAAATTGTAGAGAACAGTATTGAGAATATGCATGCTAATATCAGGGCTTAAAGGTTTAAATCACAAGTCCAATGGGTATCTTCTTAGGAGCTGTTTCCCTTTCAGTTATCATAGTTTTATACAGGAACGGGTTTGAAACCATGGGTAACATTTGATCATATTATTTGATTGTCTGGGTTGGGGTAGTCCCGAGAAGAGCTGTTGTCAGTGGTTTGTGTCTGGTATTTCCACAACCTTAGCAGAAGTCATCATTAGAGTCAAGTGACTCTGACTTGACTCAGATTATTAGTCATATTATGATAAAAGCTCTTTGCCTAAAATATCATTTAAAATTTGCCAAGTCCTAAATCTTATTTTATGTTTCCAGGTAGAATATCCTATGTATTGGACATATGGTGAATGGACTGAAGGCTTCAGATGACTTGTGGGCTACCTGAAACTAGATGAGGTTGGTGTATATATCTCAGAGAGAACAAAAAGGATACAGAAGGGGGACTGCAAAATCACACATTTTGCAAATAAAATTTTGTGTTTTGGTAATGATTGCCACTAGAGTTATCCAGGAGAGGGTAAAGGATTAATCCAGTTAGATGGTACTTGTATAACCATAAAAGTCAACTTGGAAAAATACCTACTAAATGTAGAAAGGTCTCTCTCTCTTTCTCTTACATGTAAAAAAATTTGGGTTCAATAAGTGGTGTAAAGGCATAAGTAAGTCTCTGCTGCCCCTTATGAAGCAGTTACCCTCATCACTTTAAAATTATAAATTTTCACCCTAAAGGGTTTATGTTGATTCACATGAGCTTGTTACTGCACTAAGCTACAAGGGATTTTTAGGGTATCTTGACAAGTAATTGTTGTACTAATTTGATAAATTTTCCTCTCTGTTAGGTCCATATCTTTGGGGCATCTCTTGGAGGTTTCCTTGCACAGAAGTAACATTCTGTGAAAGTTTAAGTTCGTTTTCTGAATTTTGATAATCAAGAAAGGACCAACTATGTAATCAGTTAAGGCTTAGTTCAACACAGCCTCTTTTAATTTCCTGCTTGCCGTATTGGTTTAACCCTTTACACTCTAAATTCAGTATGTGTATTCTCCATACTGTTTTCAACACATTTCCTGAGGTGCTCACAAGGAGAATTTTTCTGACAATCAAGAGCTTCTTAAGTTTGTGTTCATTTTTGTTGTTCTCATAACCTTAGTGTATGATTCAGCAGTGCTAGAGTAAGGAGAAATAGGATGCTAATCACTCATAGGAGTTAAAGGGTTAAGATTTCGATATCAGAGGAACTGAAGCCATCACGTTTGAGATCAAATGATACAAATGAAATCTTGCGCTGACCCATAATATTTTGATGAAATATATGATTACCTTTTACAGTTAATTTTCTTCTTGACTGAGGTATTCCTGATTGGTACACTATGTCAGTGAAAGCTACAACCCCAATGTTATGGTGGGATACCCAGAGAGTAAATGAAACTTGTTTGTTTGTGTCCCTGTAGAAGATTATAGGAGTGACTTCTTGGGATTAAAGCTAAAAATAGATTAAGGAGCAACAGGATGTTAAGGATTGGGATGATTTACTTGGATTACAATTTAAGCCTGTGTTTTTCATTTCATCGCAATTTTTTAAGTTTTAGTTTTTGAAGATGAACAATCAGATAACTTAAATAATTTAATCAGGTAATTAAAAAAAATTACTTTTTTGTTTGACACACGAGGAATATTAATCATGACAGTCACATTTTAAAGAAATAAAGCTTTTCAAATCAGTATTTCAATTCACATTCACTTAATTACAACGTTTTGTAGAACATAATACATGGGTGCGCGTAGATATAGAATTTCTCTTGAAATGTTCGACTCGATAGCTCATTCGCGAGCTGCGCTCACTCGTGAGCCATCGAGTTGAACACTTGAAGATACATTTCATACCTAAGCACGCCTATGTATTAATTTGTTTAGTGTATAAACAGAATAGCCCTTTACGGACAAAATAGCCGACTTAATTAACGAGTGAAAAAAATAGGATCCAAAGTCTCCGAAAAATCGTAAAGTACGTTACCAATTCGGCTCAAGATGAAAAAATTACTTGAATTATTACAAAAACAAACAATGGAAGTAACACTCAAGTTACAAAATTGTCAGAATATGAATTTTCCCTCAGCGACAAAATCGACCTATGGCAACTCTTCCAGTTGTCAATTTTCGTTTCAGCCGCGAGAAATGCCGTCACCAAAGCCGCTGATTACTCAACTTTCCCTTCAGGGAAATTTTGAACGTCATTTTCTTTAAGTGATACGGATTTTGCAGTGTTATAGCAGCCATAATCTGAGAAAACTTCGGCACAGAACTATGGATCGCAAAGAGTAAAGGTTTGCTATTGATTTATCAACCTGACCGATTGGCGTAAAAGGCGAGTGACGTCTCAGCAGCTGATTGGCGTAAAAGAAACAAAATTCATCGTAATTTTTTTAACGTGTGTTTTTACCGCTTTTCTCGGGGCTGGAAATTCTCGTATGATACCGTAGTTTATGTCATAAATTATTATCTTAATCGTCTTCTTTTTTGACTCAAAGTGCATTTCTTTAAAGCTGTCTTCGTCCTCGCACCTCTGAGCATACTACTGAGATTCTTCACTGAGGAATAAAATGAAGGACTCGTCTAGTAAAACTTGAAGTAATTTGACACTGCAAAATTAACAGTTCAATGGAATGAAGGCGTTAGCTGCACTTGTATTTTCCCCCAGAGTCCCTTCATAATAGCGACATCGTTCACAATTCATTGTGTTGAGACACCTGGTACTTTCTCCTCCAGTTATGAAGAATTGTCTCTCCCTGTTAAACAAAACAAAAAAAATTGTAAGCTGATTCCGTCACTGAAAAACACGCTTGCTTCGTCACATGATGCGGTGTGCCAGACATGCTTCTAAATTGCGTTATTATTTTTTTTACTAAATTTTGTATCACTGCATCGTACTTACATCCCGGGAATTCCACTCATTTGGCGAATTGGAATGACACATCATCTCCAATCAACACGAATGGTGCCCATTTTCTCACTTCCGAGTAGTCTGGGTTCTCTCTCATCCATTTCATGCTTTCATGAAGAGATTCACTCGTACTCTTTCCATTCACCAAGTGCTGGTAGAATTGCTTCATGAACTCCATTGTTGCTTCGTCGTCCACAGCCCAGAGAGACGCCAACACCGAACGAGCGCCGGATCCTAAGAAGGCTCGAGCGATGCCAACAACTCCCTCAGCTTTGATGTGTCCTTTTCCACTGTGACAGCAACTGAGTACGACCAGTTTGGCTCGCAATCTGACTGCGGAGATGTCGGCCATTGTCAACAGAAAGTCATTCTTCTCTCGGTTGGATGAAGCTAATGCAATATGACCTCTCTCTGGTTCACCATGTGCAGCAATGTGAATGAGACTTACAGAGTGTATCTTCTGTAGTACCGCTTCCTTGGTAGCTTCTTTACCAGTTAAGGGTTGAACGTGAAGAATCTTTCCAATCATTTCAACTTCTTTTCTAGCACACGGTAATGGACTAAATGTTAACTCACTTCCCTGGTGCGTGACAGTACCAACATCAGGATCGCCGACTATAAGAACACCACTTCCACTGTGATAATCTGCAGGACTGTCCTGGATCAGCTTGAGAGTCGTCAAAGATGGGGTGTACCGAATCTTGAACTTTTCTGCCAAAAATTCTCCTCTCTCGTTCATCAACGCAGAAAATGGAACTCTGGATAACGAACTATCAGGGACGACAATTATCTCAGATCCTTTCAGAAGATCAGCCACAGGAGCGATGATGACTTTATACAACACTTTGAGGGGTGGTTCTTCATTTGAACTTCCTTCATTCTTCTCCTTGACTTGGCAGGTGTTTTGGCCTTGTTCAAATTTTGGGCTTTCTTGAGGCTCGGCTGGGGATCGTCTGTCAAAATCTTTATGAAGAGGAAACAGTGAACGATCTTCACACTGTTCGCCTGGCAAAAGTAAAAACTGTCTGTAACACTGATTTGCAAGATTTTCTACCCAGTCTTGGGTCGACCGTGAGCCTTGACGTTGGATGTTTTCAAGGAAATCTTCTGTTTTGTCCGCTTTAAGCATCGTTTCTTGGTTAGCCCTTAAAATCCAAGAGAAAAGATTTCCTTGTGCAAAATAGAATGATAGGCAGGATTTATCCTTATCTCTGACAGTATGATGGAAACAAGTCAATTGGCTGGAATCCAAGTCAGGCAAAGGTGGTGCAGAATATCTCTTTACCATCAACTCCGCAAGTGATCTGGCACGTACAAGCTCCACAATTGACAAAGCTAGATCAAACTTTTTCAATGTGATCAATGTGGTAACCATTAACTTGTAAGGTCTATCGTGTTTGTCAGCAAAGCCTATCTTGTAATACTCGCTTTCTCCAATTGATTTCTGTGTCTCCTCAAGAGCCCTAATACTTCTTTTAAGATACAACCAAAAGTTTTCACGATCTAGAGTCAAATGATAAACGCATGCTATACTACAGCAGCAAATGCTTGTGCCTCGAAGGTCTTCAATCTTTTCGCAACACGAAAGTGCCTGTTTGAAAAACATCATCGCTTTTTTCATATCCTTTTGATCGAAGTAACAATTCCCCAAGGAATTGAGGATTTTCGCTTCCACTGTTTTCCCTTTAGTTTCTTTCACTATGTTTAATCCTTGTTGGTATTGTTGCATGGCCCTTTCATATTCGCCTTGCGAATTATACAGATCTCCAAGTGCTCCCAGAACAACACTTTCAAAATGTTTGTTTCCAATTTGTTTGAAGATCTGCAATGACCTTTCAAGGTATCTTACGGCCGTTGGTATGTCGCCTTCCAATTGATAAACAGTCCCAAGATTATTGAGCTGTAACGCTTCCTGAGCGATGTCTCCGATGTCTTTAAAGATTTGCAATGCTTCTTTGAAATACGCTTTCGCTTTTTCAGACTCGCCAGTGATAGACTCCAATTCGGCTAACTCGGATAAAATTGATCCCTCCTGACTTCTTTCACCAACCTCTCTCGCTATCTTTCGACCCTTCTCAAAATGTTCTTTGGCCTGCACGTATTGTCCACGATTCTGACAGGAAATTCCCAAGTGAAGGTACTCGGATAGTGTGGTATCTTGCAAGCCGGTTCCACTCTTTAACTCTAGTGCCTTTTCACTACACTCCTGTGCTCTGGCATTATCACCAAGATGTCGATAGATAGTTGCAAGATTGCCGTAGTCTATTCCTTGACCTAGAGTGAGATTCGTTTCCTTGTTGATTCTCAATGCCTGCTCAAAATATTGCTTTGCTTTACAGAAATCACCCATTGACTGATATACAACAGCAAGATTCGCGTATTGTTGTCCTTCTCCTATTCTATCACCAATTTTCTTGCAAATAGCAAAAGATCGCCAGTGGAATTCTAATGCCTCTTCGTATCTTCCGAGAAAATGGCAGAGGGTTCCAAGTACGCAATTTAAAGTACCTTCCTCTTTCTTGTCACCGATTTCCGTGTAAACCTCGAGTGCCTTCCTGGCGTACGTTTCAGCCTTCGCATAGTCGTTTTTACCATGATAAAAACCTCTTAAGCCTTTATACGTGAAGGCTTCTCCACTCTTGTTTCTCAGCTCTTTACTCATCGAGAGTGCCCTCATGTACCATTTTTCTGCGTTTTCAAATTCTTTGAGAGATGTGTGGATGTCACCGAGATTCCGGTAAATCATAATTTTTTCGCTCTTCTTTCCAGTGCGTTCACTTATTTCGAGGGCTTCATGTTGCACACGTTTTGCGTTTTGGAAGTCTCGAAGAATTTCA